TGAACTGTCAGTTTTGGAGAGCCGTAATCCAGTGGCTTCATAATACTCCATTTGAGAATGCGAAATCACAATAACGGGAAGAATTGTTTATGCTAATGTTTGTTGTCACTCTCCGCTATGAATAGATGAATATAGAATCCCTTCTCGCGCTCTTTGAAGGACAACCATATGCATGCTGACTCAATTACTTTTTATTAGAACATATATTATGTTTATTCATCGCTGACTTACAGTATTGCAGCCAAATGCAAATCTGGAACAGGTGCGCGTCTCTCGCTCTTTGGTGTTCATCCGTCTCGCTGTCATTTCATGAAAAGACTGTGTGGACTTGACAGTGGCTCCACTAGACATTGCCAAAATTCAATTGTTCAATATATTGTGATTATGAACATGCACAATATTAAAATCATTCAGAATACATTCATTCATTTATTCATTCATTCTTTTTTTTTTTTTTTTGGCTTGGACATTAATTTGTCAGGGGTTGCCACCGCAGAATGACCCACCAACTATTCGGGCATATGTTTTACCCAATGGACTAACACACTTTGGACAATTTTGTTTACCCAATTCACCCATGTCTTTGGACCGGGGGGGAAACCGGAGCACCCAGAGGAGACCCATGCCAACAGGGGGAAAAAATGCAAACTCCACACAAAAATGTTAACTGACCCAACCATGACTTAAACCTGCGACCTTCAAAATACAGTGAATAATTATTTATTATTAAAAAAATGTTATTGTATTTAGGATTTTTCAGATTCACATCAACTAATGGAGCGACACAGTGGCACAGTGGTTAGCTCTGTTGCCTCACAGCAAGAAGGTCACTGGTTCGAGTCCTGGCTGGGCCAGTTGGCATTTCTGTGAGGAGTTTGCATGTTCTCCCTGTATTTGCAAAGGTTTCCTCCGGGTGGTCCTAGTGCTGGTTTTACAGTTGGAAGGACATCCGCTGCGTAAAACATATGCTGGATAAGTTGGCGGTTCATTCCACTGTGTGACCCTTGATAACTTTTCAGCCTACAACACCTTAAATAACAATGCCAGTAACTCGCAACCCCTATATTCCTTAAAGGTGGTTAAAAATATACAAATGTTGCACACACAACAATAGGCCTATATAAACACAAGCATATTGACAACATAAAAAAGTGCAACAGTTTAACAACAATATGATATAATTGATATATTTATTGATTAGTTTGTGTAATTTAATATTAACCTTGTCTAATGAGAGCGGTGGGCACAATGTTTTCAGCACAAGCCTATTCTTGGTTTAATTTTAAAGACCACCACTCAGAGATCTTCCTCAATGTTCAGTTGTGCTCTGTATTTATTTTTAATGTATTTGATTGTGGTGACGCAGTGGTGCAGTAGGTAGTGCTGTCACCTCACAGCAAGAAGGTCGCTGGTTTGAGCCTCGGCTGAGTCAGTTGGCGTTTCTGTGTGGAGTTTGCATGTTCTCCCTGCATTCATGTGGGTTTCCTCCGGCTGCTCCGGTTTCCCCCACAGTCAAAAGACATGCGGTACAGATGAATTGGGTAGGCTAAATTGTCCATAGTGTATGAGTGTGAATGAGTGTGTGTGGACATCTCGATGCTGAGCGGCCATCATGATCATCCGCCCCGCCATCATCGTAGCAGCAACCCACTCATGAAGAAACACACACTCAGGCCCCATTTACACTAATACGTCTTATTTTTAAAATGGCATTTTAGAAACAATCCACATCCAAACTGAGTTTTACCTAGCATTTCTGAACAGCTCTCCATCCACTCTACACCACTGAAAACGAACATCACGTGACCACACACACACTCTGGCATGCGCTGCAGCAGCACATGCACATGCCTGAGCTCGAGGTAGTCAGTGGGTTCTTTGAGCACAAAACCCCAGAAAGCAGTGCACATCGGACAGTTTATCAAGGATGTACCGCTAAATAACGTGTCACTATAGTTGTTAAATGTGATATTTAATTAATCTCGTCTCTGTCTAACAACTCTTCTGTTTTTTTAATCTCTCAGGTAACGTGTCACAACATCAATACACTGCTTCAATATTTCGCTTTCACGCTTGTGCTTAGTAATTTTAGCGAAAACCTCAGATACTGTTGGTTGGTTTCTGTTGGTTGTGCACCTTTTCTACCAACCAAGTTTGTCGACACCATTATAGCGACACAGATCACTCTGTCTATTCATGTCAGAGTCCCGCGGAAAAAAAGTGATTGACAGATGCTAATTTTGTGTAACTTATCTTTTTTTATTTATGATTTGATTATGGGTAAAACAAAGACCATGCAGGTCAGGTAGTTAAAACGGTAAGCTACAAATAATTAATTTGTTATGAATGCCATCATCCATCACGATGTTTAACATTAGACATCGTAAGATGCAAATTGGTCGACATCGCCCAATCCTAAACTGTATATGCAGTACAATAAAGCAATGCACTAAGTATAGTTCAGGTCAATATCATGATAACACTATAGACTGTGGTAAGAGCTTCACTAATTAATGGCAGCAAGAAAATCTAGAAGCTCCGCTATATATCGACCACCATGATGAGCTGCACTTTTCTCCTCCCACTTGTACCCATGATCCTGGTGTCTCAGCAACGAACACGACACGCACGTCTGAAACCCTAAGGGAATCTGAAAGGGCCAGACTGTCGACACTCATTATATCCTACCAAGAAAGACCAAGACGCACACACACACATATATATTCGCAAACACAAAACACTCATTCCTCCCTCTAAGGCAAGGCCTGTCAGGTTAGTGGTGCAGGCCTGGGGTGAAGAGACCTTTGCTGTGCTGGAAAGGTTATGTAGAAGTGGCTTATTCTCTCTCCTCCGCTGTGTCTCTGTGCCCTCTGAGCATCTCCGTCCAGCTCTTCATAGCGCCTGACACCTCTGTGGCATTTACAGAAGAACAGAGGAGGAGGACGATATCTCCATTTCTCTGTATACAGGCCTCTCTCTCCCACTCGGCTGGTGCCCGGCCAACAACATCCTGGCATTCAGTCACTGGAAACATCCAGGATGAACGCTGCGTTATCTACTTCCACATTACTGCTTATGGAGATTGTAGCTCAGCGGGCACAACGGCGGTATCAGGAGCCATCTTGATGTTCAATTAGACAATCTCTGTCTGCTTCCTCTTCTCCACACTCATTGTTTCATTCACTGTGAGGAGAAAGACTGCGACTGTGTTCAGTTCAAGAGCACATAAGCCCTGATGATACCCGGGAAGCTTTTTTACATTGTCAATGCAGATTTTCGAATTTAGGAAAAGATTTATAGATGGTGAAATGTGATGAATGGAACTGAAAGTTAAGATATGTGTGCACATTTATAATTCATTATAAGATTATTCAGTATTCTGTTATAAAGATTCCTTTTTAAACATATTTATTCTTATAATTGAGTACAATTATTCATTAAGCTAGATGACACTTTACAATAAGGTTGTATTAGTTAATTTTAGTTCATGTGTTTACTACCAATAACAAACAACTCTGTAAAAAATGCTGGGTTCCACACAATTCCCTCTTGTCATTCCAACACAAATCGATTAAGTTACCTTAATTGTTTTTGCTAATTTAAGTAGATTAAACATAAAATAATGTTCATAGTCAATGCAGATTTTGGAATTTAGGAAAAGATTTATAGGGCCCTATCATACACCCGGCGCAGTGGGGCGCAAGACGCGGCGCAATAGTCTTTTGGTAGTTTCAGCTTGGCGCAAGAGTCGTTTTGAGGCATTGCGCTACGCTGTTTAAATAGCAAATGCATTAGTGCTTATTTGTGCGCCCATAGGCGTTCTGGTCTAAAAAGGAAGGCGTTCTGAGGTGGACCGCTGGCGCGTTGCTATTTTGAGAAACTATAATAGATTTTTCATTAGACCAAAACTAACCCGGTATAAACTCAGGCGCAGAATTGCGCCTCGTTTACGCACTGCTTAATACGCACAAGAGAGCAATAGGCAAATACCTTTACATATGAAAAAAAATTAAATATTGAGGATATATATAGGATATAATAAGAATAGATATAGAATATAAATAAAGGATTAAAATATTACAAAACATATTATTTTCTAGCCTATATAAATATGAAAAATCACTGCTTTTATGTCTTTTTCATCTCGGGAGGCTTTTTCAGTTCATTCATAACAATTTGCATTTGTATAATGTTATTATTATTAGCAGTATTATTTAATATATCCATATTTATATTTGTTTTATTAAAAACAAGCTTAGATCTGACCACCTGTCAGGTTTAAGACCATTTGGGGCATGGCAGGTGTATTTGGAAATAACTCAGTATTTTGACCACACTTGGTCATTATTGTTCATTTATTCGTTTGCTAGAAATTAGAACTGAATTTAGAAATAGTTTTGAAACAAATCTTTGCGCTTAATAAACAAAATTAATAATTTATAGGCTAATTGATGTTTGTGTGTAAAGGTTTCCCTATCCAAGAGCGAAAGTGAAAGTAGATCCATTATCTCTCATTCTCATGCAGTAGATGCTCTGTTTAACAGTTTTCTGTTAAAAAAAAACTGTCAACTGTTAACTGTTTACTTGTGAAATGCTCATTTTTTCCACTTAGACTTACTTTGCGTCCTGTAAATAGCGAATGCGCTCTTGGCGCGACGCAGCTGGGTCTTAAAGGGAATGGGAGATGAGACTCTAATTGGTTTATTCTCAAAACACACCTATAACTCATTAAGAAAATAAACTCAACCCTTTTAGACCATGCGCCTTGGCGCAAGGCAGATTTCCCGTCCTTAAATTAGCAAAAACGTGTCCTGACACGCCCTGAAAGCGTTTGCGCCCTGCGTTTTGCGCTCTGCGGACGGACTGTCAAAATAGAGCCCATAGATGAAATCTGAAATCTGTTATAGATTTATTTTCTTTCTTCACCTAAATTTTCTGCAGGCTTCTCATTTACCATCTGATTTCATTGTCTCTCATTGTCTTTCTTTCTGACGTTTCAGGATGCTGTGCGGGAGAACCACAAGAAGAGGGAAATGGAGGAGAAGATCAAGAGAGCCAAGATAGCAAAGGAGAAAGCTGAGCGCGAGAAAATCGAGAGACAGCAGAAGAAGAAACAGCTGATTGACATGAACAAAGGTATGGCACTAATGTCCCGTCGGGGCCTGACTGAAGCCCTGATCGTCATTTCGCAAAGCAATAAGCACTGCAGGGGTGGTGGTGGTGGTGGAGGGACACGTCCAAACTTCTTCTGTGAAAAATCACACTCCTTACCGTCTGATCGCTCACACAGGCAAATGTACAGGCAGATTAGATGTCGCTGAGGATGTTGTATTTAATAGTCTGGTCACACTTTATTTTAATGTTCAATCCATTCTGTTAACTAGCCATTAACTAAGACTTTTAGCTTAAGATTTTTAAACTAATGTTTAGCTGATTATTAAGACTTATTGATTTTTTTATTTAGTGTATACTACAGTTTGTAAAGAAGTGGGTGTGGCTAACTCACAATCAGTCAGTATTTGAGCCTGAACACGACGCTGCATGTGTCAATGCTAGAAATGCCTGCAGCAATTTTCATCGAATATTATTTGGCAAAAGTTATTTTATATATATATATATATATATATATATATATATATATATATATATATATATATATATATACAGTTGAAGTCAGAATTATTAGCCCCCTGTATTATTAGCGCCCCTGTTTATTTTTTTCCCCAATTTCTGTTTAATGGAGGGAAGATTGTTTCAGCACATTTCTAAGCATAATAGTTTTAAAAACTTATTTCTAATAACAGATGTATTTTGTCTTTGTCATGATGACAGTAAATAATATTTTACTTGAAAATTTTCAAGACACTTCTATACAGCTTAAAGTGACATTTAAAAGCTTAACTAGGGTAATAAGGTGCACTAGGCAGGTTAGGGCAATTAGTCAAATTATTGTATGATGATGGTTTGTTCTGTAGACTATGCAAAAAAGAATTAGCTTAAAGGGGCTAATAATTTTGTCCCAAAAATGTTTTTAAAAAAATTAATAACTACTTTTATTCTAGCCGAAATAAAACGAATAAGACTTTCTTCAGAAGAAAAAATATTATCAGACATACTGTAAAAATGTCATTGCTCTGTTAAACATCATTTGGGAAATATTTAAAAAAGAAAATAAAAATCAAAAGGGGGCTAATAATTCTGACTTCAACTGTATATATATATATATATATATATATATATATATATATATATATATATATATATATATATATATATATATATATATATATATATTATTTAAGATTTTTCTTTATAATGCAAGTGGAATATATTTTATACCTGTGAAAAGATTATAACTGAGGGAAGTTCAGAATAATCAGGTTTGTCCACACAACAGTAAAACATGACGTGCAGTATTGTTATGCTGAGCATAACCCAAGTTCATTTTTCATTGCGTATATCTTAGGAATTGAAAATATTATCAGAACACTCATTAAAGCAGCTGTTAATGGCTTTAAATGTAAACATCTGCATCATCCTGATATGGAAAATTATGCTGATGTGTCTTGCCCTTAAATTGATGTGTTGATTACAGTAAGTTCCACCTAGCAATTAGGCATCAATTGGGGTCATAAAATCACAAGTCTGATTTTAATTTATGGTTAGAAACTAATACTTAAGGAGAATAAAAATCACAAACCTGATTTTTGTCAGTTAACTCTTCCCAAAACCGCAAAAACAGAAATTAAGATTGTGTTATGAAATAATGTGACACTCTTTTTATTTATTTTTTTCAAGTTACTTATTATTCAGATGCAAAAAAAAAATAATAATATATATATATATATATATATATATATATATATATATATATATATATATATATATATATATATATATATATATATATATATATATATATATATATATTTGAATAATTCTATAGTAAATATATTGTCACAGTCATAGTTATTACTGTATATTATACACCAAGGGTGAGCGGTATGAGCAAAATTAAATTTCACTGTACAGTATATTGTATGTTTCATAGTATATTTCACTGGCCATAACAACCCAGCTCTGGTTATAGCTAATGGGTGCTGTTGATCAAAGGTGCAATAGCATGTTAAAATCATGTATGCTTCACAACCATGTAATTATTATTTTTTTTTTTTAAATAGCTTCGACAAAGCTAGTCCTCTCATAATTTAACTTACAGTATTGACCCTTTTCACTGGACAGTAAGGCTGCATTTCAACAGTCATCATAACCCTTCATGTTTTTAATATTTAGATTAAAAAACAAAACATGTACCTTTGTAAAGCTATACTTTGTATTTTATTATTTTTCTTTTCAAAATTAATTAATTAATTACATTTATGTGAGATTTCTAATGCAGCATCTATGGGTAGGATATTAGATTTAATATTGTTCTCTCGTCTAGATGTCCTTTTCAGTCTCAGTTTATTTTTATTTTATTTATTTATTTATTGTATTTTTTTATTCTTTTTTTTAGTTGGTAAAACACTATAGTCTAATGGGCTAGATGCACAGCTAGTGTTTTTCAACCTACGATAAACTTCCGATAAAAGGTTAATGTGACTATTTTCAATTTCATATGGTTCCTTTTACAGCATCGGCGTTGTAACATAATAAAAATACAGTCAGTTAAATAGATTCAATCATTCATTTAGTTGTTTAAAGGGAGATAAAAGACATCAGTAGCAGCAGGCCAGCGCACAAACTTCATTAGAAATGCTGGGGTAAAATATATTTTTATTTTAAAGAGATGGCAGGGAAAATTGTATTTAATGCAGTGCTTCTTGCCTGGTCTGAGACCCACTTCCTATCACATATCTACAGTATATGGCAGTGAAGATCACAGATTTTTAAACATATCAGATCTTTAACGTGGCGATTATGCAATGGAAAGTGCTATGGCTGGCTTACTGAAAATTAAAATCTGTGTGTATATATACCCCATTTGTCTTTTGTTATGTAATCAAATTGTAATGCTTTCTACGTTTAGCCGACTATGACAATGTCCGCTGCTGAATAAAGGGTCTAGTGCTTACATATTAACTAAATAGACGATTGTTTGAGTTTAGTATCTGGAGCATTTCTGAAATTGCTCAATAAGGTTGTGGAGCATCTAGGCAGCAGTAAGAGACTGTGCTGACAGGCCCCTGCCAGAAAAGATGTAGGTCACATGTAAAGATAAGCATCTCAGGTTCACTGCTTTTGTAGAGCAGACAGATAATGGATTGGCAGATTGCCTTTGGCCTAGTAAATGGAGTTGAGAGTTAACTATTAAGTTTTTGCAAGCTTGCTCGGTTTATTTCTGAATTGAAAAGAGGCCGCTTTGACAGTAGCTTAATTCAGTTTGAATCACAACAAAACAGGTTGAATATGAAGCACAAATTGTCCTCTGTGCAGAGTATTTCAATATACATGCACATATAAAGCTAGTAAATTGTGTGTTTTGGAAAAGAAATGCGAGGTTCGGTTTAAAGTAAGAAAAAAATGTCAAGATGTCTCACGCAGCTTGCAAATTCAGGGCAAATTCTTGCCATGAGAGATACGGAGTACTCACTGCACTGCGCTATTCTGATCCTTACAATGAGACAGAAATTCCTGCCTCTGGCCAAAAGCTTTCTTCACAAGCTCCAACTTAAAATGTCACACTGAGCCTAGCGCTTTACTGCGGCCTCGCATTTGAGCAAATGACATGTAGAAGTTCAGCTCTGTGTGCTTCTGCAGGATGACTGATGCATGCTAGTTTCCTAAGAAGTGACCGCATTGTATGCTGAGCTCGTGATAATGCAGATGGAAAGACGGTGGATAACAAACCCTCTAGTGCAGTCAAGAGTCCTTTATCTTTACTTCGCACTTTCTCTTTGCCAGAGCCCATGAAAAGACTTTTATCACTGAACTGCTGTAGTCATCACTAGATTTAAATTGAGAGAATGTCAGTTAGCTCTGTTGTACATTTGGCTCCTCATAAGACATTTCAGACGCGTTATGTAATGATTAACTGATCAGGCTCTCATTTGCATTCAAATATGACTTTGAAAGCTCTCTACTGTTCTGCTAGAAGTGCACTACTGGCCTTCTCTGTATGATGACACAAAGCGTAGATGGCAGCGCAGCAGATTTAAAGGTCTCCTGAAATTAAAATAAAGTTTTTTAGATGTTAATATCAGTATGTAAGTTTTAAGGATATCTGTAAGCTAGTGTGCGCTATAAAATAATAAGAAAATCCACATGTAAAATATATAAAACTGATAATAACATGTAAAGCTTGCAGTTTGTCACTTCCATCTAAATTAATCAACGTTTTGTTTCACATCACCTCATCAAAACTTGACCAATCAAATGCTCTCTTGTATCTGACATGTCCCGCCTCCTTCAAGACATTTCTGTGCTGTGATAAAACAAAATGCTTTTGGCTGATTTTTAAGGGGAGGGGCTACTCTATGTCCTGGCCTCTCTTCATGTTTCAGTTGAGACAAAGAGCTTAGAATGACCAAGAGGTGACACTCTAGTGTAATTTGGGAAACAGCCACTAGAGGGCGCGGCGGCCATTTTGGAACGAAAACTCCAATAGAACAACAGCATATTATAAGTCTGTAAAATAAACTATTAAAATGATGCTGATGATTGTGATAATAAGAGTTGTATTGTCGTCTTTCAGGTTGTATCTCAGCTTTAAAGCACTTTTTAAATAAATAAATAGAAAACAAAGCAGCTGCTTGCCATCGCGACAGTAATGAGATCCAATGGACGGCCGATCACTTTCATTCCAAAATGGCGGAATCCAGGGCTGTTGCTGGGCGCTGCTGTTGCAATGGAACATTCTGTTGAGAGTCGCCTCTTGGTCATTCTAAGCTCTTTGGTTGAGATTTCGTCAAACATCGAAAATAAATGCACTTTTGAAAAATGCACAGCCATATCACCCTGCAGCTCAAAACTGGTTACTCTCTGAAGCTAAGCAGGGCAAATATAAAAAAATAAAATAAATTGTGAATTTTGTCTGGCCCAAGTCATCATTTACTCTCCTTTTACTTGATCCAAAGCTGTTTTGAAATGTCCTTCTGTTAAACGCACAATAAGATAATTTGAAGAAAGCTGTAACC